AGACATGAGAATTCTTTTGATTTTAGAAGTATCAGAAGGAGCAAAAGGGAAATTTCAAAGAACATTTATTTCTAGTAAATTTACCCAAGTTGATTTCACCTCATTAGTTCTTGGATGACTTTAATGATTTTTCCCCCATAAATGTTTTTTTAAAGGTATTTGGTTTGATTAAAAGTATATTAGTTTTTAATTGATTTAATAATATTTTTTCTGGTCACACAGAATCTAAGAAGTCGGAGGTGACCTTTTTTGGGTCGGAGTACATCTTCTATGATTTCCTGGCTCAGGGAATGGATCCTATCAGCAGTCAGACAGACAGGGTAGAATTCTACTTCAGAACCAAGCATCACACCAGCTTCCTCTTCTATACAGGTAAAAAAAAAAAACAGATCTCATCTATACACAGGTAAAAAAAAAACCTAGACCAAATCTAGATATCCATACTTAAATTGAAATAAAAAAAAAAGCTCCAGTATGCAGAAATGTCCAGGTTTGAAGGCACTGGGAGTAAACTCATCTGATTTTTTCCTTGTCAGAGACCAGAAGAGCTTATATGTCATAGTAAGGTGTTTAATACTGTTTATTGTCTGTCCGTTTTTAAACATTTTTTAAATTGCTTTGAATTTAAAAAAAACTTCTATTTTTTTTTTTATGTTCCTTTGTTTTCAATGTTACTTACTGTCATATAAGCTAGACTACACTAAGATACTCAATTCTTTTGTTTGATATTCTTATAAAACACTTCTTTTTAGTCTTACTGCAATTAATCTTACCAAGTACACAATAAAACAAAACCAAAGATCATTATTCTTTTTGTTGCTGTTGCATACTTTTACGTACGATACTAATTTTCTCTTATGAAATGTTTTAAGCAGTAGAGCTACTGTCTAATCAGAGATTTCAGGTTATATACATTGACTTATTTTTTTAAAGTCAATTATTTACCCCCTTTGAGAGCTTATAAGGTCAATATTATACTGCATTGCCCAGATCCGTACTTCTACAGACTAATAAGTGCCAAGACTGTAGACCCGTATGATATTACAGTTGATTTATTTCTAATTAACTTTGGTAGACTTGCTGTGTTTTATGAGGTATGAACTTGTGAACAATTGCAACCAATCAAAGCACTAGCTGTAACCAATCAAAGGTTTTGGTGCTTTAAGTTACTCTATGCCATATATTTATTTGCTTAAATACCTGTGTTTCTTATAAATAAAAGACACTTGAAATGAAATATATATGAATTAAAACTGTACAGCAAGTCAGCAATGCCTGAATGGTTACTGAATGTTTAAAGACAGTTTAATATCTTGTACTCAAAGAGCTGGTAAAATTATTTTTGAATCAAAAGTAATACAAGTTGTTTAATGAATTAAGGCCTATATTACTGAACTTCAGTGTAAGATTGAAATAGTTCTTTCTAATGAACATTGATTGTTATCTAACTTCCTTATCAATAGTATTTGACTTTCCAGGTATCAATTTTTGTCTTGCCCATTTCCTATTTTCCTATTTTTTTTTTTCAGGAGAAAAGAGTGACTACATCAGCATTGCTCTGAAGAATGGAAGAGTCATGGCGATAGTGAACCTGGGTGGTGGTGAGACTAAGTTGGATATCGGTCCGAGTGGTTACCGCTTTGACGACAACCAGTGGCACCACCTACTGTTAACTAGACAATCAAGAAAGGTAACTCTACACATGACGTAGATATGTCTTATATTGCAAGGATATAGGGATGGAACTTTAAATAATAAATAGTATTTGCAGTCATGCAATTATTTTGGATGTAATTTTAGTTTTGGTATATTATTTGCTTTTAGCACCATTTCATAGTTGAATGTGTAGGGAAATGTTTTTATGAGATTACTGGTAGCTTTATGGTCATTTACATCTTGTTAAGTGATTAATACAAGACTGCTGTTTTAGCACTGAGTGGAAGCTTTTAAAAAGTTAAACTTCTAAATGAAATTTTCTGGATTCTAAGAAATGACTTGAAGCTACTAAGTATTAAGCACGATTTATAGATCTACACAGGTTAGATTAGATCACACTCTGCAGCTATTACTGCAATCACTCTGCACTTCTAACCCTGTTCTTTGAATTAACTTTTTGTTTGTTCTCTATTGAGTTCAGTTTCTTTACTTATTGAAAAGCTGACAATAGGAAATGCCAAGTACATAGTAAGTACCCATGGCAATGGTAAGTTACCATGGTAGCATGTGCATGAAAAACCCTTCCTCTAGGCTTGTTTTTTTGCCAGTTTGCAAAATTGTCTCACTGTTGTTAGTATTGCATGGTGTTGTTGATTGTTGATCCAAACATTTGATGAAAATGTCAAACCTCCAATTCATACTGTTGTGAGATACCTGGTTTTTCTTTTGATTGAACACCGATAATTGGGGTTATATGTCATTCACACTTTATTATATTAGGTACATTGACTCTGGTGTATGAAAGCTTTGACTCTGCTAAACAGCCAGGTGTTAGGTGGCCATACATGTTTAAAGTTTTGTTGACCAGTGTTTTATCAGTGAAATATAAAAGATTTGTTGTAATATAAAAGATTTTTAATTCTCGTATAATAGTATTCCTAAAGATTATATAGGGCAATAGCCATAATTCGTGAAAATTTTGTCCAATGACTATCTCGCGAAAATGCTTGCCTGCTTACAAAGCTGAGATGAAATGGTTCCTTGACAAAATTGATATTAAGTTGAGATACATGTAGCTTAGCTCTTCAAAAGGTATGTTGTAAGGAAGCCAAGATAGCTACTTTGACAAAGTTGAGATAGTATGGTTGTTGAACAGGTTCTAGGAAAGTAAGCTGATATACTATGGCTATTTGTCAAGTGCCTGATCATTGAGCTGAGATAGCATAACTAATTGGCATCTGTCTGATCAGCAAGCTGAGATAGCATGGCTATTTGCTGAGTGCCTGAAAAGTTAGCTAAGATAGCATGGCTTTTTATATATTGTTAGTGAGCTAAAATAGCCTGATTTTGAAAAAGATGACTGGCCAGCAAGCTAGCAAAAGGCATTACTGTTTAATCGGTGCCAGGTTAAAGAGTTGAGATTTCTCGGTTTATTGACATTTGCTTGGTCAGGTAAGCTGAGATAGCCTGGTTGTTTCATAGTTGTCTGGTCAGTGAGCTGAAATAACCAGATTTTCTGATAGACATATTGCTCAGTAAATTGAGATAGCATGGTTGTTTAACAGGTGCTTGGTCAGAAAAGGTTGAGATATATATGGTGAATTTTGTTAGTTGCTTGTTTAATTAGCTGAGATACTGTGGTTGTTTGACAGCTGGTGCCTGATCAGTTTACTAAGAAAGGATGACTGTTATAAAGTCACCTGGTTAGTGAGATGAAATGGTAGGTTGTTAGTAAGCTGATATAGATTGTTCTGGATAAATACTTGCAGATAAATTATGAATTAAACAAATTTGTTTGACAGCATGGTGTCTCAATGCAGCATGGTTGGTGAGCTAGCTGAGATGGGTTGCAAAGTATTTTAACTCAATTTACATTGAGTAACATTGAGTGTTACCTATATATTTTTGTTTCTTATGTGGTTTATTAGTTGTTTTGACATTTCTATTTGAAAATTAAAGCTACTAGCAAATTAAAGTGACATTTCAGGCATTGTGTAGATTTATAAGAAGCTCAGAGTTTGTACAATCAGAATTGTATCAGACAAAGCTTAATTGGGCCCCTGATTGTTTTGTAGGTGGCAACTAGTAAAGGTTAATGTTTAATTTAAGTAAAGCTAGCCTTTTTATGGAGGTTTGTTCACTTTGTTATCTAAAAATCCAAGTGGAATGTGGTATTCCGTGGGCTAGAAAATAAAAAATAGTCCGTGTGTGAATGACTATAATCAGATTTGTTTTGAGACCAGGACATCATTTAGGATTTGTCAATCAAGCCTGTCCTGAATCTCCCCATCAATGTTAAGTCCAATAAAACAGTGGACTCTCCTTTACTGTGGTCAGCGGATGGAAATGTAATTGATATTTGCATGTTTCATAAGCCCTCCTGACTAAAGACTGGGTCTTTTTCATTACTCAGGGGCCACTGACTTGAGATGAGGGGTGTTCGGTTAATTTTCCAGTTGATCAGAGTAGTGCTATAATGGACTTAAGTGATAATTGTGCTGGTCTGATTTGATTCCATTCTGTCAGCCATGTTGACTGAGGACTTCTGGGATTTCTCTATGTTTTGTTCTCTGTGTGTGCATTCTTCCCCCCTGTGTATTGCTTCAATTGATTTTGGAAGAAATCAATCATATTTATAGACAATAAGAATTAATGAAAAGGTTTCATGTTAGAACTGAGAATACACTAAAAAATAGATGTTTTTTGCCCAAAGGACAGGATAGGATGAAATCTAAGAGAATTTTTGATTTCTGCAAATAGGATCAAATTCAAAGAGCTTGCATTCCACAGTAATAACTTACATTTTTTTTTAATTTGGTATTTTCTATATAAATAATACAAAAAAGTGATTTATTGACTTGACCTATATAGCATGCACATTTACAGATAAATAAATGCAAAAACACCATTTTTCATAGAATATCTATCAACTGATCAAAAATACATGTTGGTTAATTGAATTAAAATAAATAGTGATGCCAACAAATTCCTGATAATGATGTTTGCCTGTATTTTGTATGATTTATAGAGTTACATTTTTCTTGTTTGTGGATAACAGGTCCAGCTGACGGTGGACGGTATCCACTCTACGGAGCGCAGTATGGTGGGGGTGTTTACGATGCTGGACAGTAAGGTGCTGTACGTCGGGGGGCACCCCCAGGCCACCAGACTTGGACAGGGGATCATCGTCCCCAACAACTTCAAGGGATGCATGAAAAAGGTAATGGTTGTACAAGAGAATAAAATGGTAAAGGAATTATGGGATTTATTATCATTAAGGTATTCAAAATTGTGGAAAGTTCATATCAACATATATTTTATAACATAGTCTGTACATAGATAAGGTATGTTGAATAGTGTTTAATTCTTGATGTATCATAAGTTGCTTTTCCAGTCCACAAACTTTTTGATAATCCAGGTTGGATAAAAAAAGAGATGGGGAAGTGGGAGGTGGAAAAAGATAAAAGTCCTCTAGTTTAAAAGAAAAGTTGAATAAAAAGCAAAGGGGAAAAATAAACAAAAATATTGTCTTGATTATATTGTTACAGTAGTGATTGTAAATTGAATTCATAAGATTTTCAGCAGTACATTTTTTTCTATTTAACTTATTCTGCACATTAAAGAGATTAATGAATTAAAGTGAAAACTAGTTTAATTTTATTGGGCCTTAATTTAATTAGCTTAGATTTTTTTCTTTACTCTAGATGATAAGCTTCATTACTGTTTGTAACTATAAAGTATGAAACCATATATCATTGCCTAACAAGATCTGATATAAAATAAAATCTATGTGTGCATTAGCTTGAGAATTTGATATTCAGATTAAAAGTACATGTGGTATTTTTAAGTTGTAAGGGCAGCATATATTTCATTATCACCACATGAATTCTTCGGAAAAATTTGATTATGAATTAGTGCGATACCTCTTTCACATGCTTTTTTCCTTTTCTTCTTTTCATATGTAGATTTCATTGATTAACAATCCCTTAGGCAGACAGAGATAATACCTGTTTTATTAATTAAAAATATGAAGTGAAATTGATTTCCACTCGGCTTTTGTAAATAGATGGAAAGGCATTTATTAATTTTAAAGGCATTAAATTACCTTTTTGATTGCTTTGTGGTATTTGTTGCAATCTCTTATTCAAATAAAAGTGCATTATCTTTATTTAATTGGAAAGTTTGTTGGGTTATTGCTTTCCCAAAGATCAGAGGTATTTATTTGTTTGAAAGTCTATACTACCATAAGTGAAGGCCAGATAGTTATTTGATCTGTCGATCAGCAGCATTCTCTTTCTGATTTTATAAATGAATGTAAACAATGAACTATTATTAGCGACCGTATAGATACATAAAGAGATCCTTTTTCTCCAAAAGTAATTTTTAAAGAAAACATATCATTATTAAGCATTTACATTGTAGCTAGGTTAAAACAAAAATGATTCAAAAATTAATAGTAAGGCAAAATCATTTTGTTATGTATTTAAGTCAGTGACAAGCATTTTAAAGGTGCACATAAATAAAAAAAAAATTCAAGGAATTGTGGTCATTTTTTATGACATATTGTGTGTAATATGAACACCCTATTATGTCATTTATTTAGAAATCACTACTGAACTCCAAGGTCAAGGTCAAAGGTCAAAGTTCTTGGTATCCAATGAAAGGTCTTCTCACAAGAATTACTTATACGAAGTATGAAAGCCCTAGCCCTTACTGTTCAAAAGTTATGGTCAAGGTTTAAGTTTTTTCATAAGTACGGAAATCTCCAAGGTCAAGGTCAAAAGGTCAAAGTTGTTGGTATCCAGTAAAAGGTCTTGTCACAAAAAATGTATGTGAAATATGAAAGTCCTATTATCTACCATTCAGAAGTTATGGCCAAAGTAATAGTTTGGAATTTTTTTGTAAAAGTGGGTCAAACTCCAAGGTCAAATGGTCAAATTCGGTGGTACCCAAAGAAAGGTCTTATCACAAGAAATACACATGTGAAATATGAAAGTCATAGCTCCACTAAATCAAAGTTATGGGCAAGGTTAAAGTTTTTGTGATGGACTGACAGATGGACAGACGAATGAGATTTAATGTCCCCTCGCTTTTGAGAAAGTGGGGGACAAAAAAATTGGGAGAAAGCTAGAATAGGCTTAGCTGGTCTATTTAGAGATTTACAGAGCTCCCTGATGCAGCACTAAATACTGACAGGGTTTCCGGACATTGTGTAATAATGTTAGATCTTGGTCATTGATTTTTTTTCTCTCCGAGTATGTAGTTTCGTTCTTGTCATTTTGACTTGGCATTGTACAGCAATCATAACACTTTCTATGTGCTCATCAACTTCTTTTCGACTTGACACTTTATTGAGAAGATTTTATAACCCTTTAGAGTACAGTTTACTGAGAAAAATTTTTTATAACCCTTTAATGTCCAGTTTTGAAGAACTTTTCTCAGATTAAACTAGGTTTATGTGTTGAAAGAATGTCAGCTCAGTGGAATTCACAATCCATGTAAAAATAATCAATGTTTTCCTTGATAAAGTTGATGCAATTTCCTGATAATTGGATAAGAAATGTAAAAAGATAGGAGTTACTGACTCCTTTGGTCTTCAAATATTTGTTTTGCCTAATAGTATTTCTGTTAAGAGAGACATTACGATATTCCTTTAGGTTTCCCTTGAGATCACCCAGAGCTAAGATCACCACATCATTATTGTTCTTCATTAGCTTTGCACTTAATGACCATAACTACATTCAGTTAATAAAAATCAAAATCTTCAGGCAAGATAAAGAAATTTTATGTCTAAAGTCAAAGTCAAGGGGTTCCTGTTGATTGAAGGTCATATAAAATGGTCAAGGACACAATTTCAGCAACAGCAGATTTGTTTTGGCCTATGAAATTTTTGCTGACAAATTTGTGAGTTCACAATTATTTTTCAAAAATAAATTACCAACAAAGCAGTGGTAATTTGCAAAACTTTGAAACATAAAAATTAATCAACACCATTTTGACCCGAATTCACAAAATAAAATTTCCAGATTTACGGCATAATTTACTTGTACAAGAAATAAACTGAGTATCAAATATTTAGACCAGTCATTTATTAGTCTTGTATGGCTAAGAGTAGTATATCAATGTCAGATTTTTCCATCCTACATCAAAATAGTGACAGAAATAGTCCAAGATAAGATAATATCCTAGACAACTAGAAACCATTTTCATATTTATGTGACAGAGGTTAAGTTAAATTGTCATACAAGATCCATTGGAATAGGTTGTTTGTGATATATTACATTAATATGAACTGTTATTTCCAATATTTATAGGTTATTTACACCGCAGATGGCATGAAGCTTGACTTGAGCAAAATGGCTTCCACCAAAAACAGTTTTGTCCAAGTGGAGGGAGCAGTGACCTTCAACCAATGTCAAGATATACTGGAAACCAAACCTATCACTTTCACCACCCCTGAGTCCTTCATCCCCCTCCCCCGATGGGAGGTAAACAGGGAGGGAGCCACCCTCTCATTCACATTTCAAACCAGTGAGGACAAAGGAGTGGTTATTTACAATAGTAGAAGAGGAAATTCAGACTTCTTTGCTTTTGAGATATTTGATGGCTACTTATGGTTTATAATAGATTTAGGTTCTGGTGCATTCAAAGATAGAATTAACACAAAAGTGAATGATAAAATGCAACACCATGTGTCTCTGAAACACTCTGCTTCAGGAAAATCAGGTTCTTTTACATTGGACAATGAAACAAAGGACTACGTTGTGCCAGGGAACAGTACAAATTTGAACTTGGATGGAGAGCTGTATGTGGGAGGGTTTGGAACCTCAAATGATGACATTCCTAAGGACCTCTGGGCAGGGACTCTGGGGTATGGATATGTAGGATGCATGCAAGATCTAGTGGTAAATGGAAATAAAGTGGATCTATTGATGGTGGCTAGAAAGAACAGCCAGTCAGGAATTGGGGATGAGTGCAAGGTGGAACCGTGGGCCAAGTGCTTGACTCGACCATGTCTGAATGGGGGTGTTTGCTCAGAGGGATGGAATCGATACAGGTGTGACTGCAGGGGTACCTCACACAGGGGCACACAGTGTCAGTCAGGTGAGTAACTTGGTTCCTCTTAGGGGCATACAGTGTCAGTCAGGTGATGACAGTGTATCTCACACAGGGGCACACAGTGTCAGTCAGGTAAGTAACTTGGTTCCTCTCAGGGGCACACAGTGTCAGTCAGGGGATGACAGGGTACCTCACAGGGGCACACAGTGTCAGTCAGGTGATGACAGAGTATCTCACACAGGGGCACACAGTGTCAGTCAAGTGATGACAGGGTATCTCATACAGGGGCACACAGTGTCAGTCAGGGGATGACAGGGTACCTCACAGGGGCACACAGTGTCAATCAAAGGATGACAGGATACCTCACATGAGCACACAGTGTCAATCAGGTGATGACAGGGTATCTCACACAGGGGCATATAGTGTCAGCCAGCCGAGTAACGTGGTACCTCACACAGGGAAACACAGTATCAGACAGGTACATCACAAAGGGGTCCACAGTGCCAGTCAGGTGATGAAAGGGCACCTCACACAGGGGCACACAGTGTAAGACAAGACAGTGACAGGTACCTCACAAGGGGGCATAGAATGCCAGTCAGATGATGACAGGGTACCTCACACAAAAGCACACAGTGTCAGTCAGATGATGACAGGGACCATACAGGTCATACAGTGTCAGCCAGGTGATGACAGGGTATCTCACACAGGGTCACACAGTGTCAGTCAGGTAATGATAGGGTATCTCACACAGGGGTACACAGTGTCTGTCTGGTTATGACAGGGTACCTTACAGGGTCATACAGTGTCAGGCAGTTGATGACAGGGTACCTTACACAGGGTCATACAGTATCAGTCAGCTGATAACAGGGTACCTCACACAGGGTCATACAGTGTCAGTCAGCTGATAACAGGGTACCTCACACAGGGTCATACAGTGTCAGCTGATGACAGGGTTCCTCACACGGGGGCACACAGTGTCAGTCAGATGAGTTACAGGATACCTAACACAGTGTTAGTCAGATGAGTTACAGGATACCTAACACAGTGTTAGTCAGATGAGTTACAGGATACCTAACACAGTGTTAGTCAGATGAGTTACAGGATACCTAACACAGTGTTAGTCAGATGAGTTACAGGATACCTAACACAGTGTCAGTCAGATGAGTTACAGGATACCTAACACAGTGTCAGTCAGATGAGTTACAGGATACCTAACACAGTGTCAGTCAGATGAGTTACAGGATACCTAACACTGTGTCAGTCAGGTGGATACCTAACACTGTGTCAGTCAGGTGAGTTACAGGATACCTAACACAGTGTCAGTCAGATGAGTTACAGGATACCTAACACTGTGTCAGTCAGGTGAGTTACAGGATACCTAACACAGTGTCAGTCAGATGAGTTACAGGATAGATGAGTTACAGGATACCTAACACAGTGTCAGTCAGATGAGTTACAGGATACCTAACACAGTGTCAGTCAGATGAGTTACAGGATACCTAACACAGTGTCAGTCAGATGAGTTACAGGATACCTAACACAGTGTCAGTCAGGTGAGTTACAGGATACCTAACACAGTGTTAGTCAGGAGATGACAGGGGTTTTTTTACACAGGGAAATACAGTGTTAGTCAGGTGAATGACATGGTACCTCACACAGAGGCACACAATGTCAGCGGTTAATGTAAAAATCTGTAAAAGGAGAATTATGCACAAGTGTGTTGTACTGCTATGGAGACTATAGTGAGTTCTTTACAGAAGAGTACAATCATAATTTATTACATAGGTGGCTTGTAGCAATATTAGGATCAACATACGGTGAACAGAATAAAGGTGTGTTCAACATAATTTTTTTCTTTAATCAGAAGTTGTCAAAGAATACGGAGTGACATTGAATTTTCACCCAAAATCATTGACCATTTGCATTGTGCATATTTTTGAAAAATGCAACATAGACATTGAATAAGTATCATAGTGAGTATTCCAACAATTCAAACTGGTTAAAGCTACACAGCTTTGATAAGAGTGGGTGAAGGTCCTTTCCATATATGGTTAACCAATCATTAACACAGAAAATGGGTACAATATCCTACATCATGTACATAGATCTTGTTGATGTAGTTCAAAAAGATAGCTACTGACAAAACCAAGAATTCCCAGCAGGTTTCTTATCTGGATCAATTGGCTGATTCTGAAGAAGTCTATCCATTTACAAGTGACAATTGTTTGTGAAGTGGTAGTCACTAAGTCTATATAGCCAGGTTCGGCAATCCTGGGCAAGATCTTTCATTGAGAGTCGGCAAGTCTTTTTTTTGGATGATTACATGAATACTTAATATTACATTCATTTGGTAATTTAGGACAGCATTGGAGATATCTGGATTGATAACTGTTATCTCCAACATAAATTTTGGATGGAATTTGAGGTCTTTTATTACTTTTGAAACATTAATACCATATAGGTCATAATAGGTGATATGAAAGAAAAAAAAATTAATGGAGAACCACTGGCAAATAAGTACACATATTGGAGGGAAATTAATATTTCTTAAAATAACCTCTACAGAGACCGGATTTTTAGGTAGCCATTATAAATAAATATAACTCTCGATATAAAATGCTGATTTTAGGAGAAATTCTAGGATTGGAAAAATTGCTGTGAAGCTTTCTCTCTCATTTTGCAATTGGATGCCTGAAGATTATATAGAATCATGGTTTATATGATGCCTTAGAGCCAGCACTATACTGCTCATTAGCAGCTCAGAACAACAAATTTGTTTGCTGAATTTGCATCAAATCAGGGTCTTGGCATCAGTTTAGCTGCCTTGATTTGGTTTAATGCCCTTTCCATCCCCATTAGTTGTATATTAGGATCCCCTTCTTCTAATGCCCAAATGTCAACGCAGGCAAAAATTGTCCGAGATTTAGAAGATTAATCAGTGCTGAAATGTACTCTCTCTCCAATCTAGCAGTTCCTGAGGATTGTACTAAATATCTGATTCTGTTTCTTTGTGATCTTAGGTTGGAACAACTCAGGAAACTTGATAGGGCCATTACGTCTGCTCCAATCTCATATTCACTGAGAGAGTCCTAACTTTTGTTACTGTTCATATCCTATTCTTTAAGGTCTCTCTTCCTATGTCTGTCAGCTTTTTCTTTAATCTATTAGTAATCTACAAAATGTATGGAAATTGGTTAACAAAGCGATGCTCCGTTATTGATTTCTCAGAGGTTTGGTGTATGCTAAGACTTACCAATGAAAAATACAGACAGTTATTTAATTTTAGAATGCTGCAGTTCTGGAACTTTTATGTCTGGTGAATAATGTCTTCCAATTCCATTCCTAGCACTTAAATAGTTTCTTTTTATGGTAGCTCAAAAATAACTTATTTATAAAATGGTATGTCGACGAATTAGTCAGCTTGTATGAGCAATTTTTGAACATCTATTGAACCAAGTTCTTTATGGAGTTGGTAATTGTATTAATACAAGAAAGTAGTACTATACACCAAAGAAATAAAAATTCTAGTCCATGTAGGAATGGGAGATCGTGCTTGGATCTGTTTTTAGGGTTGATATAAATTAGGCCTGCACAATTTCAGCTTCGTTGATGTCCATTTAATCTGGGTTCAAAGTTACGTACACCCACCCTAATCCTTTATAGAACGAGTAAATTGCATGTGGACTAATGTATTGGTGAGACTGATTTAGACACTTGAGAACATGGGCATTACAGTCTGTTTGAAATGTTTGATTTTCTCTAAATGGTATGGAAATCAAGAGAAATCAAATGGTATGACATTTGTTAGACTATTAAGCCAATCAGAGGCCAATCTTTTAGAAATGTTACATAATCGGGAATCAATATCTTTTCAACTATAGACATGCAAATATGACTGTACAGAAAACTATACTTCCTAACTGTGCATAGAAATATTTGTACAGCCAGTTATTTTAGTGTAACTATTCAAATTTCAGCTTTTTGAACATTTACATTGTACATTTGTCACATGATTTCTTCAAATATAGGATAGACTGCTTATGAATAAGCAACTGTAATCTGAAACACACAAATATTGTACATGTACTAATATGAATTTGATATGCCAAATACAGAGTCTGAAGTTTTAAATATTTTTCAAAATAAAATGTAAAGATTTATTAAGAAAAATCAAATAATTTTTTTGAAAAAATAATCCACATTGGATAATTAAAATTCCACTTAAACATCTAATAAAAAATTCTGCTTTCCAGTGGCGGCAAGCCTGTCCTTTGATGGCGGTCAGTACATGAAGGTGGTTTTTCCTGAGGAGTGTGAGACCGAGGTGGAGGACATCTCCCTGAGGTTCCAGACAGAGCGGGAATCCGGACTCCTGCTGGTGACCTCCTCCCAGAAATCCGCGGACTCCCTACTGCTGTATCTAGACAGGGGAAAAATCAGACTGGAGATCAACATCAACGGAAAGAGAGAGGTGGGGATCTAGGGAATTTTGGGGTGGAAATTTAACTTTTGACATACATTTAAGTTACTGTATATTTGTTTTGGATCATCATTTTGAATGATAATTATGTGTAGTTTGAAAAGAAGTTAAATATAAATTATTAAATATAAAATTTATTAGAAAATTTTTCTATTAAAATTTAAGCATTTTTAAAGAAATTTTAGGTTTTGCTAAAGTTATAATATGGTTTTTGTAGCAAATGACAATTGGTCGTGAAAAACTAAATGACAATGATTGGCACACAGTGTACTTTACACGGCGAGGGGATACGATCACGCTGAAAGTGGACAACAATGATCCAAGTGCAGGTACACTAAATGTCGCATCCACACCTATGTTTTCATTTTTTGCACTCTTATATAGATACCATTAACTATGGATATAATCCTAAAAGTAACAAACTCCTTTAGAAAGCCTTTGTCAAATTGTTTCCTTTATTTTTGAGTCATATTACATAAACAGATATAAAATTTGTTCTCTGCAAAAAACAACAGCAAAAAAAAAATCGTGAGGCATTCTTGTAGCCTTGTCTGTTTACAGAAATCAGATAATAGCAGTAATAACGTAAAGATTTGAACATGACACATTAGTCTGTAGCTTTAGCAGCCAGGCGCGATCTCGGAGTCCTTCTAGGCAGACTTTGTATTGATCCATTCTTCTCTATTTTTCAGTAGCGTTCTCTTCCTCCTATGTGAAGGGCATGAACATAAAAATCTTGTTGCTAGGTTCCCCTGGCCCAATGCTTTCTGGTAATTATGTGTTTGTTTCCCTTTAGAGGCACCCTTACAATTCTTACCACCTACACAGTTCCCTCCCCTTGAAGATTTGTCACTTTCTCCTTTTTACCCTTAACTTCTTTTGCTAGTTCATGATCACTGTTTGTGTACTGATATTTAGTGAAATTAACATTTTTGGCATTGGAAATTAATAACAAATCCATGAATTGTGGTGAAAATATATAAATGATGTATGATATGTTAAAACAGGATCTTTCTATAGCACTGTATCAAAATTTTCAATGACTGTACATGCAAATATTTTGACTTATATACTAAACACAAGTACACAGACAGTATGATATTAGTCACTTCACCCTTTCTGATTCAGCATCTCAATTCTTTTCCATTTCCTCAGTGCTTTCAAATATTGGAGCAACTATTTAATGGTCTTGGTGGTCATATTAGATCTTTTATAATTTGCTAATATTCCTGGTAAAACAGTTCTGGCTTATGCTGTTAAATTGCTATGCATTAAAAGTTCCAATAATTGCATTTCTAGATCTGCAATAACAATTTACTGCATGGTATTAGTATTGTGTTAATGTCGCATTATGTTTGCAAAGGATAATGCATCAGAATTACAACCTTGGAATGAAAATGTTTAAGTGGCTTGGGATACGTATAATTATCAGTATTATATAATAATTATGCAAGATGAAATATAGTTTTATTGACAAGCAAATGATATATTATCAAATAAGAGATATTACTCAAACCGTATGTGTTGAATTCGATATTTTTTAAAATCCAGTTTTACTTTGCTGTTCTAGACACGTATCCCAGAGTGCACCAGTCTATGAATCTTCTTCAGATGGAGGCTGGAGGGAGCCTACCATTGGACAATTTATATCTACGCCAGATCCCGGGATTCGTGGGATCTATGCAACAGCTGTACTTCAACAACAAAGAAATTATCCAGCTCGCCAAGACAAACTCTCTTCCCAATACCAATATAACTGCCAAGTTTGATAATGACAAACCAGTGTTGAGAGACACTGTGACTTTTAAATCAAAAGATTCTTATGTTGCACTTCCCAAGCTACAAGCCAGGAATCAGTTTTCCATTTCCTTCCAATTTAAGACAGTAGAATCAGACGGATTATTAATGTACAATGGTGGACAGGGTCAGGACTTCATAGCTGTAGAGCTGCAGGATGGATACCTCCATTTACTTTTCAACATGGGGGGTGGATCACAGAGGGTGGTGGTCAACACCCAACAACGACTCAACGACAACCAGTGGCACCTAGTCTCCATACAACGACCCGGTCTGGAACAGATGCAGATCCGTGTGGACGATGAACACCCCACAATCAGCGACTTGTCTGGATCCACCAGCGTACATTTGGATCTGACGGGAAATCTTTATGTGGGGGGAGTCAGTAAGTCCATGTATAACAATATGCCATACTCCTCCCGACATGGCTTCCAGGGTTGTATGGCCTCCGTAGACTTCAATGGACAGGGGCCGAATCTGGTGAGACAGGCCATGAAGATTTACGCTGTTGAAGAAGGTTGTCAAGGTAACAGTGAATTAATATATGATTTGTCGACTCTAACATGAAATACAGTACTGTAATTCACATTTTATTTGTGATACCTGAGACATTAAATTAAAGGTCATCAAAGTTTCTACCAGTCAACTTTCTCATCCATCTTAGAGGGCATTTTGTAGAAAACAGGAGAGTTTATTTGGATGATTGTATTTTTCTGTATCACAGGCCCCAGTAATAGTTGTCGCTCTGACTCCTGTCACAATGGAGGGTACTGTATAGAGCAGTGGAACAGCTTCCAGTGTGACTGTGATATGACTTCTTACACCGGTCAGACATGTTCACAAGGTATGTTACGGACAAACATGTTCACAAGGTGTGCTAATGATAAAAATATCACAAGGTATGTTAATGACAGACATGTTCACAAGGTATGTTACAGACAGACATGTTTACAAGGTATGTTACTGACAGACATGTTCACAAGGTAGTTAATGACAGACATGTTTACAAGGTATGTTAATGTTAGACATGTTTACATGGTATGTTACTGACAGACTTGTTCACAAAGGTATGTTAATGACAGACTTGTTCATAAGGTATGTTAATGACAGACTTGTTCACAAGGTACGTTAATGACAGATATGTTCACAAGGTATGTTACTGACAGACATGTTCACAAGGTATGTTAATGACAGACTTGTTCACAAGGTATGTTACTGACAGACTTGTTCACAAGGTATGTTACTGACAAACATGTTCACAAGGTATGTTAATGACAGACTTGTTCACAAGGTATGTTACTGACAGACTTGTTCACAAGGTATGTTAATGACAGACTTATTCACAAGGTATGTTAATGACAGATATGTTCACAAGGTACCGTATAGCGGGTTTTTTTGGCGGGTGTAAAATTTGGCGTTTTGCCTGCTGAAAGGAACCGCAATAATTTAAGCGTAATTTATTTTAGCGGACACAGGGTTTTAGTTCTTTGCAGATAAACACTAAAAATAGTAGTTAATATTTAACTATTAAACTATTAGCGATTAAAATTTTAGCGGACTGCCATCAAAACGCCAAAATAAGCCAAAATTAGCACCCCGCTAAAATAACCCGCTATACGGTATGTTACTGACAGACATGTTCACAAGGTATGTTAATGACAGACTTGTTCACAAGGTATGTTAATGACAGACTTGTTCACAAGGTATGTTAATGACAGACATGTTCACAAGGTATGTTAATGACAGACATGTTCACAAGGTATGTTACTGACAGACTTGTTCACAAGGTATGTTAATGACAGACTTGTTCACAAGGAATGTTAATGACAGACTTGTTCACAAGGTATGTTACTGACAGATATGTTCACAAGGTATGTTGCTGACAGACATGTTCACATGGTATGTTTATGACAGACTTGTGCACAAGGTATGTTAATGACAGACTTGTGCATATGGTATGTTAATGAAAGACTTGTTCACAAGGTATTTTACTGATAGACTTGTTCACAAGGTATTTTACTGATAGACGTATTCACATGGTATGTTAATCAATATGACCTTGACATGTGAATTTATACACCAGAAAGACAGATTCACAATGTGTAAAGCTCATTATAATCATGCAGTGTATTACTTTGCAATGGTACAGACATTATACTAAGGTGATATTAATGCAAAGTGCTCAAGGTAAACTTTTTAATTAGAGCTTCTTTGTTCTTTTTCAGAGAGTAAGACAGTGAAGTTTGGTCCGGGTCCCGGTCTGATCACGTATTACTTCCCCCCTAACTCCCTCCCCAGCCGCTCCAGTGACAGACTGGCCTTCGGGTTCAGGACGACCTCTGACCTAGATAAACAAATCACGCTCCTCCGAGTGGAGAGTGAGACTGGGACAGACTTCCTAGAAGTGGAAATCGTAAGTTAGCTAGGGAATTGTGACTTCTCATATTTAGATCTCTAATAATCAGTACAGTTAAATTAACTTGATTATAAAGAACTCATGCTAATTTTTTATTATTAAAGCAATATGAGCTGCGTGTTTGACATCAGAATTTTTTTTGGCAAATTTGGAATTAACAATTTCAATGATAGAAAAATAGAACATTTATAAACGTCTGTTGTTTATATTTGCGATGGAAGAACTTTTTATAAGCTTCGATTGAAGCAAAATTGCATTATTGTCATCCTGTACAAAAATGATTTCTTTTGTAATACTGTATATTCGATTCTACAGAAATATTTCCTCTGAAACATTTTTAAACTTTATTTTGATCTCATTTCTCATAATGATTTATATTACATACAAATTAATCATAGTAACACATTTTACCCAGAAAATAAAACTTTCAAAAATGCAGCTCATATTGCTTTAAAATGTTGCATACTTAAAACCAACTTGAAGATTCTTTATATCCCTTTATATTAGAAACAGTAAAAAGTCTTCTATGGGATTATACTTATAAAGTGTCAACACTCCTGACACATCACTAAAGTGTGTTTTATTGTATACTAAGTAAAAAATACATGATTGTATGTGCATTTGAATTATCTATTATGAAAAATGTTTTCTCAGAAGGTAAATTTAATACACTGTATGGGATTCTCTTCTATTAAGGTCAATGATCATTAATTAATTCTTATAAAATGGGATTTTCTTCTGTTAAGGTGGATGGTTCGGTGCTTGTCTCCTATAACATGGGATCCCAGATGACCATTCCTATTGGAGACCATTTTATCAGAGTTGACGACGGAGACTACCATGTCGTCAGAATAACACGTGATGGGGCGGCAGCCACGCTGAAAATCGACAACTATGACGTCATCAGGAAAAACCCCAGCAGTAAGTGGTACTTGTGTAATAAAGAGTTTTTGTAGTCTTGAATGAAGGATTGAAAGCCATTTTGAATGAAGGAGGCAACTCAGCTATACAAAAGAGGGTTTGATTGCTTCTAATGTACATATTGTCAGATGTCACTGCAAGTTTGTGTACATATATGTTGAAACAAAATTGTAGCAATCCTTCATTTAATGATCAACAATATGGATATTTCAAAATGAAATCATAAAAGTTGATACAATTATGAGTAAATTTTCAATGTACTTTTGCATTGAATTGCTATAGAAGAATGGGAGTTGAAAAAGTATGCCTGTATTTTTTTAAGGAGTTTGACATTTCTTTCTCTTTGCATGTCTGTATCATGGACTGAATAAGATTGAAATTGTTAATTGATTGTTATAACATTAACATAAGTATACTGTAATCAATGTTTGAGATACTGTGAAATCACTTATTTTCATGGGGTTTAATTTCTAGTTGTTTTCAAAGTATGGGGAGACCCACAAATTTATGTCCACTATGAAATGTAAATTTTCTTGTGCATTACTACTATTAAACAGTCTTAACAACGAAATCAATACCCCACAAACCAATATATCTTTTCCTCAAACCTTTGACCCCATGAATATATGTGCTTTTACAGTACATACATGTATTTAAACAATCAACATGTTTTGCATGTTAATTAATTTAAAAGTTCTTTTTTACTGATGATTGGTGACAAATTTTTTCCTCATATGTCCATGCACAAAACTGTGTTCAATTATATCATGTTTACGTAATCAAAGAAAACTTCGATTTTTAAGTTTTTAATATTATCTGATCGCTAAATTATTGTTGCCAGTCACTGACTCTTCTTGTTCCAGTAAAGCAGTAAACTGGTGAAAAATTGAAAATTATCAATAGATTTGTTCTAATACATGTGTACATTGATATTGATCAAGTGTCAATATTCCATAGATTTTGTTTGCAAAGTTATATTGTGGATGCAGAGATAACAATACTTGTAAAACATTAACTGGATGTGTGTGTATCATGAGGTCTTCTGTAAATATTTGTGGAATCTGATCACTGTTTACGTACCATAAAAACAATTCTGAAAAAGATAGCCTATTGGGATATTTGGTCGAGTATGGTGATCGAATTAGCATTTAATACTGCTGTGCGAGAAAAAACCCCTTAGAGTCAATTTTATATGTCTTGGAGTTTAGAGCTTATTCAATTTGGTTGAGTTGAATCATCAGCTACAGTCTGACAGACATTAACATATACCGGTCTGAATGGAGTGAATGTTTTATGGAATATCAAGGTGCTTTGACCCTCTTCGAAGAAAGATAACTCTAATTAAGAGTTGATAAACCAATGTTTCTTTGTAACACCCCTACTAATGTTATTGTGATTTAAATTCATGACACGTGGTTTAGGTTTACCTGTTCAAAGGTTATAGGGTAGATCCGGTTTTATAAATAAAATTGACAGTAAACAGGAAATTGCTATAGTCTGTTTTTTCTGAAAACATGTCCTGTGAAAAATGTGTTTCCACACCTTTCTGAAAGACTTTCATGATTTTCAACAGAAATGGTTGGCTTAAGGGGGGGGGGGGGGGGGGGTTAAATACTAATTAATACATCTTATAGTTAATTGCAAAAATTGCAGCTCACTAGCGACCGATACCCGGTACTCTGGTTAAAAAAAGTGTAATATCATCTTCACTGACAAACCTTTGTTTGCCTTATATGGCTATTGCTATTAATGCGCACAGCTTACCACGAGCAACTGTCCAATTATTAATTGAATACGTTTACGCCAAATACATGTTTACATGTTACTTCGAACACGTGGTTCAGGTCAATCTATGATCAAGTCAATGGAGTGCAAAATAAAAAAAATGTTCTTATGAACAAAATGCAAACATTAGAAACTAAGAAAAATATCACGTGCGTTTTTAATTTGTTGTTTACTAGAGAAAAATATGTTTAATAAAATGTATACGTAGTTAGTGTCAAGTTCAGAACACAAACTTTAAGGAAAGTGAGCAGCTTCTCGTATGCATTTAAATGGACAAACATTTTTTTTACAGAACTATACCCGTGATCACGTGTGTTGGCCAGGGAATCCACCTGGCAATTGTATTCACCGATAGTACAATAAAGGAATTTAAAGCGTAAAATTCCTGTAGTTTCGTAGTAACCCATAATGCAATTCTCATTCAGCTGATTTGTCAGTTAAAGCCACATTGGTGCCTCATTTGCTAATCTGACGCCAAAAAATATAGTCCCGGTTCCCATGCAAAATATTTGTCCAAAAAGAAATTTTAATTCATGACAGCAGAAAATTGTATCATAGAGAATACTTAAAAATAATTTAACTTCAATGAATTCAAGAAAGATCGATTGAAGTACATTTTAACAGAATGATATTATAGGGTGGTGAAAACTAAAACGCAACATAACTTTGCTGTTTACCATGTCTCCATTTGCTAGTCACTTCCTAGCCACATTTCCGTGAATAATTTACCCTATCTCGCTGAAGTCTCGCTAACTCTCACCAGAGCCACTGTCAGAGCTACTCTGAACTCATCGGATTTTATAATTTGCAGAACACCGAAAAAGAAAAGGTTCTGAACACATTAGTAGGGGTGTGTAAGATTGTCATCTCTTCAACAAATTTGTTCATCAAATATACCCCATATGGTACACTGAATTTGAATTTTTGATAATTCTTATTTCCAACCTCTGTTAGAAAATTAAATGATTTAAATTTGATGAAGATATGTTCTTCTTATTTCTTTGTATTCCTTTTGAGGCAGAAAAAAAGATTATTACTTTGTGTAGTAATTATTTATAAAATGTCAAGTGAAGTACACAATTTTAACTCTACAATCATATAATTGTATGTACATTTTTTTTCAAAGTGTCAAAAGTAAATGAGTTCTATTTCTTTTGGTTTCATGTGGGTGAAATGAAATTGTTACAGAAGTACATTGTAGTGCTGTTTCATTATTTTTAGTTTATTGTATAATTATTAACTTACATATAAGGAATTCATTAAGATTTTGTTATAATAATTTACATATAAGGAATTCATTAAGATTTGTTTTCACTAATTCTGACAAAATTTCCCTCTGCTAATACTGGAGTACTTCTATTGATTGGATTTGTATTTATTGTATCTATAGATGTGACAGTGTAGGTTACAATGATAACCTGATTTTTACAGATCTCATTTTAACACAAGTATTCTTTCAATTATATATAGCTGCAAATGCACAAACCTAGACACAAGTTTTTGCATGCAACACATATACTGTATTTATGGAAGTCACCTGGTTTTTCTTTTTTACACAGTTCTAGCATGTATATTACACATTTAATTTCCCTAACATTAATGAATTAAAAGTTGAAATTATGACTGTGCACATTAAGATTAGGTGCATGCTGAAATACCCCCATGCAGAGATATAAACACAATGTCATGCATTGTATTTTGACACAGATTCATCTCTAAATGCACATACTGCAAACAATATTCAGTTTTGGTATGCAGAAATTAATAATTAAATTTTCTGAAGTGGATCAATGTTATACTTATTAATTAATGAACTAACTTAGGTGCATGATCATCATTAAAATGATAATGATCGTATGTTTATACACTCACTGTATGATCTCACTTTTCTTATAATTTTCAGATATATTTAAGTTAGGTTTAAATTTGTATGTTCACAATCTTTGATATGTATACCCACTTCAATATTTTATATTTTGCTGGGTTATGATAGAACTTTTCATCTATCATATTTTTTTCAATAATTGAATTTATTAATTTATCTCATATGTGATAAAATATTTATTCAAAGATCAATTGAAAAAAAAATTAAATAATTGTTGGTTTATTTCCCATCAGGCTGAATTCCTTATATTTAAGTTACTGATCTTGATAATACAACAGAATTAAAATTCACTCATTCAAAGTTTTAACTGAGCTAGCCAATATTTTAAATCAGTTACAATATCAGTTAAAAGAAGAAAAACCTTGAGTGATGGCCAGATAGTACCAAATTGTTTTTCAATGCTGTACTTAACTGTAAATCACTTTTTATTCCCGAGATCATTATTTTCGTGTAAGTAAGCAAGACAGTGCATGAGCTTGCGAAATTATTCTCGGGTATATTTATATTGCTAAAGATTATATAGAGCAGTAACCATGATTTGTGAAAATTTTGTTTGGCTATTAAAGATTTAATGTCTGTCTCGTGAAAAAAAAGTGTTGGGAAAATAATAAAGTGATCTACAGTATTAGCATTAGGTATTGTGTGAGAGTGTTTGATTGGCTATTAGCTGTTTTTTCTCATCAGGCATGAATGCATTATATGAATGAATTTGCAGGTAAATAACCTATGTTAGGCAAAAGGGGGTAATTCTGATGGTTTTACTGACAATTGAGGAGTACTTGGGAAAACATATGCAAACGGAGATTATTCTGATAAAACTAAGAAAATCTAGAGAAAAAAAATGTTAAGAAAGGCATGACAGCATACAGTCATAGGATGTTCTTTTATTTCTTTCAGAAAATGAACAACAGTGGAGTGTGTTCAATAATCAGTCTAAGATTCAATATATAATTTCAGTTAATAAACCCTAAATTGAGCATCTCTGGTGCAACAAAAATATAATACAAGGCCTACAATAATTACATTTATAAATTTGCATTAATTTTACTGAATATTTAATATTTAAACAAGACTATACATAACCATATTTTTAATTAAGCTTCATAATTTTTAATTACCAGTGTTTATTTTCCTTTGTTCCAGGGTTGGTGTTTAATGGTATAAGAGTGATAGACCTGGCCTGTGATTTAGATCCCTTCATTGTCACTCGAGGCAGTGTCCAGCTCTGTCCTACAGATACCAGGTAGGGATGTGAAAGATTTAACTTTGTTAAAGGGATAACTGTCTAATTTTTTGGTCCATGATGTGATCAACCGATTGGCTTGCTTGATAATTTGCATAAATGCTAGAGGCATTTACACAGGAAAAATGTCCACATGTGTTAAACATATGTTTGGTTTCACATGTGTTCAACACATGTTTTATACATGTAATACATGTGTGTAAATAAACACATGTAAAATATGTGTTTCATTTATATGTAAAACATATAAAATATACACATGTTATACACCTGTGAGATAATATATATGTTAAACACATGTTTTTCACCACACATGTATAACACGTATTATATATATGTAATATATGTGTGCGAAAATTTTATACATGTTTAATTTATATAAAATATATGTGTATTCATATGTTATAACATGTTAAGTTTTATCTCATATATGTGTGTACATTAATTCAAAAGAATTTGTATATGTTAGTAAAATTTTACTCATGTAAAGTTTTACTTTGTTTATCCCCCCTTTCCCTTCTAAAAAAAACTTTTACAATTTTTTTTCTGTAATAATGCAATTATCAGACAAAATTGATAAAGAATGAATTCATTTTCTTTTCATTTTAAATCTGTTGGGCTTGGCTTACTTCTTGAGTAAAATTAAAAATAATTCCGTATTTGTCTCCGGGCCGGTTTTGTCTTTTATCGGATGAAAATGAACGTCATTTTTGACGTCACTGCTGCAGCAGACGTGCTGGGTGTATTGGAAAGGTAAGTGATCTCCAAACAATTTTTAAAAGACTTTTAATTCATATTGTTTAAATATCATTTCATTATAGTTACAGGTGCGTATGAACTTTCTATATACATGTAATACTCTTATTATTGTGACTTGTCATGCATTTCGTAAACCTAACGATAGTGATCAGATCTGTAAGTAAATTTGGTGAAAAATGTTTCTGACTGAATGTAAGCACGGGCACTGGAAGTTAATGTAAATATATAGTATGTGTATGTATAAAAAAGACCCTTCTTTTTTATACATACACATACTATATATTTATATTAACTTCCAGTGCCCGTGAATGTAAGCGGTTACATGTTAGGCTAAAGGCATTACTATTTTTTATAATTTGTATACAGGTAAGTAATTTTGGATAAATTTGTTTCTGAATGAACGTAAACATTACATGTTAGGCTATTTTTAAAGGCATTATTGGTTTTCCTTTTGTTACGTACTGATATGAAAGTGAAAGTAGAAACCTTGAAACCAGTTGGTGTTTATGTATATGTTGAGATGGCTGTCAAGTCGATTTTTTCATCAACTTAATAACAAGTGTTTGTTTTTATGGCCTATAGATGCATGCAGTAACTTGAGTTCAGTGTCACATTGTTGCGTCTAAAAAGCCCAAAGCTGATAAGACTGGCGATTGATCCTAAAGCTGATTTGACAGAAGATTGCATCTTCACAACATTAAAGGTATTATAAAAATAAATACTTGCAATAAAAAATCAAGGTTAACATCTGTAATGACTCCTTCATGACAAAATATTTCTTGATACATTGTAATTTCTTTTTGTTCCTTTATAATTCTACATTTGTTGTTTGCACGACTTCATAAATAATAAGTCAACTCAATACTACAATAATTTTATTCTATATTATAAAACAGTTTTAATCCAGTGCACTTTTAAAATATGGAAAGTATGAATAGAATTTGCAGGCTTTGAAACTGGTACATGTACTGTAAATGACTTCAGTGTTTTTGTTTCAGTTAAAAATTAATAATAACAGTGACATCCAACTTTCAAGGTACAAGTACATGTGCATATGTGTTGATTGTTGACAGTACATCAGCTAGCTAATTAATCCATTGGATATTTACATCTATTATGTACCGGTATTCATTACCTGACATGTATTATTTTTTTCCAACACTAGAGAACATAGTTTCTGGTAAAATGTAAGATATTAATTAAGACTATTAAGAACCTACAAACATGTACTCTCTCTTTTTTGTAGTTGTAGTTTTGTAGTTTAATTAAGTTTTAGTTTTGCTTAGAAGATATCTACTGCGTGAATATTTGTTTCACAGGTTCAATATACAGTCAGCGTCTCATAACCCTCCAAGATTGAAAAGCTTAATTAAGGTAACTACACACTGTTAAATAAACTTTGTTATGTTCTTCCCAACAACGTTTGGGATATCCTGGAATCACACTGTATGTTTTTCTGCCTGTCTACTTCTCTGTAGTATTTTTTGTCCAAAAATAAAATGTTTGTGTCAGAATCTTCTTAATTTTTGGCAATATGAATTAGTAATACTGTTTGAACATTCCAAATTTAATTGTCAAAAAAAAAATGCTTTTTATGACTTTATTATGAAGCATACCTTCCAACAGTGTAATTGTCTTGCAAATTACATCATAGGATTCCACAAAACACCTAGTATAGCATATATAACATTAGTTTTATCTCTTATCATATCTCTGTGGGTGAATTGGGCATATATTTGTTTGCCGAACTTTAATATTACTTGTAGAATTGATTTTGTAATTTAAGAATTGTTTTATTTTTACTTTTGAAATTTTTGTAGAGACCATTCTGTGCCTCAAAGAAATTGTTCAAAAGGGAGAAATGGTGGATTTGCATTTTGGGTACAGTTCAAAGAGAGTTCAAAATGGTCAAGCTCATGGAAGATCAGATTGAAAGATACAGAAGGAAAAAGAACAAGAAAATATATGAAATAATTATGAAATTGGGAGGATGTACACAATCTTGTCTGCATTTGACCTGTAAAGATTTAATTCCCATTCTTATTTGTATGCTGTAATATCAAATAACTTGATTTTTCATAAATTTACAATAGATAATACATGACAAATGTTATATTTGATATTTCAATTTTGCTTTGGACACTTTCATGTCAAATCATATAAATTATAAAAAAGTACATGGACTAATTATGTTATTCATTTGTACATGTATGCATGTTTAACTATTTAATCATTTTGTGGAAATCTTATAATTGTACTCAACTTAGAATATGTAAAATATATGTATCGACAAATGCTACTGACTTGTTTGTATACTTTCCTGTTTAGAAAGTACACTGAAAAATAAGTTATTTCTCTTGATGAAAATAATTTATCAAAAAAGTTGTGTAAGCATTTTAAGATATTAATTTTCAAATATTTAACCCATGAAGATAGATCATTGGAAAGTAATGGATTTTCATCTAAAGCAGAAATATCTGATTTTTAAATGTGTACAAGAATGTGTTTTTCCTTGTGATAAATATTGAAAGAGAACACATGTAACTACATATGATTTACATATGCTGCCCTTTTCATATGATTCACATATGTGGACAGACATGAAAAAAGTATAAAAATGATAATAAGTACAACAGTAATATTATACATGTATAATTCACATATAAAGTATAACATATATAAAACACATGTTTAACACATGTTTCATATGTATAAATATACAATGTGTTTATTTTTACGCATGTTAAACACATGTGAAACATATGTTTAACATGTGTAAAAATAAACACCCTATACATGTGTGCTCCTTTTATGTGTTTTACATGTGTAAAAAATATATGTTAAACACATGTTTAACATATGTTCAACACATGTGGACATTTTTCCTGTGTATGCATAAAATTATCACACAAACATATCGATTAATCACTGTCATGAAACCAAATAATCTGTTTTATTCCTTATATTACATGCTCTTGATTCCGCAAATTCACCTGCTACCAGCTCCACTTCTGTCTTTTTGTTCTGCCCACACATAATTTTTTTTAACCACGCGTATCGATCACCCAGTAGATTTATGTAGAAATAAAGTTTTTTTACCATTTGTAGTTTTATCTAGGACAAAGAATTTTAAAATGTAAATAGTGCAGAATCATTCACAAATCTCTATAAAACATTAGGTCTTATCTGATTAATCTGAATCCCTTGTGTTTGGTTTTGTAGGAAACATGAAATGCAGTCAACAGAAGGAATACGGGTATGTGTTACTCTCTTAGAGCAAGGAGGTCTTTCCCAAGTATATATATTATTTATTGATGTACAAATCCATATTTCTTTTTTCTTCTTTTGTCTTTCCCCTTTCTGATAAGATTTGGTTACCTTTAGTTTTACATGTACTGTAATATTGCTTTTTTTGCATTAAAAAAGTGATTTCTTAATATTTTTAAATATCTGAAAGCATTGTTGTCACTTTCTCAAGATAGATCGTAAACATAATGAACAGAAAAATGACAATCATGGTGCTAAATCAGGACACGGTAGAGAGATACCAACCTCTGCTAAAGTCAGTACACTGCTTCCACCATCTCATCAAACAACCAGTTATTCTCAGCAGCCAAAACAAAAACATGTTAAAACACAAGCTTACAAGAAAGAAAGTGTTGTAAAATTTCCATTGATGAATTCCATGGAACTAAAACTGTCAGGTGACATGGGAAAGGAGCCCAGAGATGTTCTGATGGACTACATGAGTGATGATGCCGACTTTGATAACATTGCCGATTACCAAGGATCAGGGCATGGGAACCAAGAAAGGACTAGTCAAGAAGATTCACCTTTCCTTTTCTCACAATCTAGTTATCAAAATAACCTCTTCCCAAAATTGGGTAGTAGAAATCCATTCCTTCCACAAGTGAATAATGGGAAATGGAGAGATCAAGGGAGGTTAGGATATGAGAAAATGAAGACTCAGTTTGAAGACTCAATCCATCATGTAATTCCTAGAAAGTTGTCCAAATCACCATCCAGGTCCAACCATATGAGGCCATTGTCAGACCTCAAACTTGGCAGGGAGGAGGGAGTGAGGGTAGTTGTGGGAAAAGAGCAGACTCCCTTTACATACATTCCCATCACTGAACTAGTAAGTGGGAGGATCATGGGTATTGAGGTTACTACTAACACCAAAGTATTATGCTGGATAACTAGAAAGGATGTCTGGGAAACTAACACTAATACACTTGGATATCAGCTACCTGTGGTAAAGCATATACTGAATGACTGAAGGCAGATGGGAACTAAAATTTTCTTGTGCATATTAACATGAAATGGATTGACAATAATCACGAACTTGATCAAACATGCATTGTAGCATCAGCTGCTTGCTTCATATATTTTTCACTTTAATTAATTTATAAAGGTTTGTTAGCTAGTATTCATTCTCTGATGCATGATGTGGGCCTACATGTAAACCAGTCTGTGTATTCTTTAACTGTCTCTTTCTCTCATGCTGCATATTTCTGTTTGATTTCTTTTTTTTCAGTCCTAACTTCTTATATTTTCATGTAAAAAAAAAATAACTTGAATAGGATAATACCCAGAACATCATCATGCATTAATACAATCAGTAGTTTGCCAATTTCTTTGTAAAACCGTTTTTTATAAATTGAATGTCTGCATTGTACTACTGCATGGGATATGGGGTATTAGGCAATTATATGATTAGAGTATTAATTCATTGCATGATGTTTATAATTGTATGAGTGATTAATTCACCATACAAATTTTTCTTATATTAATTTGTGCTCTGAATTTAAAATAACAGTATATATATATATATAAAATTTACAGGTAAAATAGGTGTCAGTATTCGTGTTGAAATCAGATTATATTTGCACAAATTCAAATGCGAGATAATTTACGAAGGAAATAAATGTGTAGGTTTCAATCCTTATATAGGACACAAATCTATTGATATTGTTGAAAATTTACAGGCCATCAAATGTACTGCTGTACCTTAATTTAGAAAGAGAGGGAAATCTATTCAATGATTGTATCACAATTTTACTTCACAGCACACCACTCCTCAGGAAGGTGTGACAGATGATATAATTGTCCCCGCGGGCTCAGGGGATGGAGGAATCAAGTGTCCGGTCGATGATGAGGACGATTGTGCTTCAGACGACGCTTCAGATAACATCATCTCAACACAGGTCACATTTACATACAAACCCACCACCAAACCACCACTGAAAAGGTAATACCATCAAATAACATCATCTCCACACAGGTCACAATTACATACAAACCCACCACCAAATCACCACTGAAAAGGTAAAACCATTAGATAACATCATCTCCACACAGGTCACATTTACATACAAACCCACCACCAAACCACCACTGAAAAGGTAAAACCATTAGATAACATCATCTCCACACAGGTCACATTTACATACAAACCCACTACCAAACCACCACTGAAAAGGTAACCCATCTGATAACATCATCTCCACACAGGTCACATTTACATACAAACCACTACTGAAAAGGTAATACCATCAAATAACATATCTCCACACAGGTCACATTTACATACAAACCCACCACCAAACCACCACTGAAAAGGTAAAAAGATAACATCATCTCCACACAGGTCACATTTACATACAAACTTACTGCCAAACCACCCCTGAAAAGGAAAAGAACAACACAAATCCAATAAAAATTTAATTGGCAAGACCTAAGCTTCTGCATTTATTTAAAAAAAAAAGGTTAAGAAAAAGATTTCAACCTTATCTTAGTCTATATATAAGTTCACAGTAAAGTCCTTTTGCTGGAGGACAATGCATTACCTAAAACATGTAGAGAGATCCTCTTTTTTCTGAAATCTTTTTTCTGTTGACACCAATGGTATAGACATTAGCAAATTTAGCAAGTCATATTTTAATGTTAATTTTTAGTTCAGAAGATTTATATTTTAACATTATTTGAATATTCATTCATGTGAGTTGTTTGAAAAAACTGGTTTTGTATATTTCACAGCACCGATATTGGACCCTGTTCCCCAAAAGATTCCTTAATTTGTGACAATCAAGTAGAGAGTACAAATTTAATGAAACCAGACAAAAATTCTTCTTTGCCTATAAAAGAGAATGGCAGATCTTCAACAGAGTATCCGTTAATTCCTGCAAATCGAAATCGTGAACAGGAAGTGACACAAACACCAAACCTCGCCCTCATTATAGGCATTGTGGGTGGGGTGTTGGTGGCATTGATAATTCTAATTATAGCTTTGTATAAATTCCGGAGTCGTGACGAAGGCTCGTATAAAGTAGACGAAAGTCAGAACTTTGCATTTCTGGAAAAAAAGCAGCACCAGGGTAACGGAGCATTGCTAGGTAACCACAGTAGTGGGGCTGGAAAGTCAGGGAAGAAGAAAGACGTTAAGGAATGGTATGTGTAAAATCAGAGAAGACCAAAGCCTGTGATTTCTACAGAGAAAGAATCTGTATCAGAAGATGGTCTCGTGGAATGACCAGATGTGAAAGAAATTTAGTTAGCCAGTGCATTTAAAATCTTAGAAATAACAGAGAGGTATGTCAGCTTTGCAGAAACTGGACATTTCCATTTGTGGTGGACTTCCAATCATTTTATGTGTAACTAACTATGAATCAGTTCTTCCTCTATTCTGTTGGGGTTCATTGGCAAAACTTGATTGTAATCATTGAAGAAAAAATATGTTGAGCAAAGAATGAGAATCAGAGTACACAGGCTTTGGCTTTACTGATGATCCTTGTGATTTGGAGACTGCCACTCTGAGCCGATGAGTTCGGCTTTTATTTGTGGACCATATCGGTGCTTTCAGTGAAGTGTGACTAGCACGGCTCTAAGCTATGTTGTGATTGGACGACGTTTTTCTATGAAGTTAGAGATAGGATTTTTTTTCAGTATTCTTTTGCCAAATAGTTTTTGGACCATGTACAACATGCATTCCTAGCTTATATGTTGAATGAGAGAGAGAGATCAAAATTCATTCCACACTGTCTCATTATTTGTAAAGCATTAAAGGGCTTTAAGGTTCATTGATACTCTGATAAGGGAGATAACATTTTATGACAAATCTCTAATTCCTTTATCATGTTTATATATTTGTCAATTTGAAATGTCTTGAGTTTAATTTTGCCCCACAAATCATGATATATAATCCCTTGTATATTAATCATAAAATATTTAACATTTCTTTTGAATTTTATATAAATTAAACATTTTATATGAGTGAGCAGAATGTTTATGAATCTAATATTAAAGTTCATCAAATTAATACATGAATTTACTTCCAAGGGATATGTGAATATTATAATTTAAGCATGATAGTAGTGTTCTATTTATTTCTTAATTTATTCATGTTATTAATGTACTCATGAAGTTGTTTGACTTTTCCCCAAGTTAAACCCACCACTTGGAAAACTTTTTGAAGTTTTTAAATACCTGAAGATATTTTAGGCTTAACTTTTATATTTAATCTTTCATTTGGTGATTTGAACTAATGATGAAGTTGATATATACCATGTTTTTATTTTATTTAAAACAGTTATTTGTCTTTAATCAGTAGAGTAGATATTATTACGACAATGTATTTTCATTCTTACATACATATATCGTTAAAGAAGCTCCAAACACTAATAAACAATTATAAAGGGATGATATTAGAGAAAATTATAATATGAAGAGGTGTATATTTATTGAGTTTATATATATCCATGTATTGTCAAGAAGGGCTAACTGCCTTATTTTTCCAGGAAAAGTTCAAAGGTGAAGTGTTGCCGAACTGAAATCAAGTCATTGGGATATTGATGCAGCCTCTTAATTTCTTTATCTTGGTTCAAAAAATAATTTATATCAAAGAACAAAACAAAAATACTCCAACAGTTCAAATTACCATGTTCTAAACAGAAATATTCTGTGAGTAGTATTTAGAGCTTCCTTAAGATTGGCCATACATTTATATAGTAATACATTTCAACTTTATTAACATGTAGAGACATACTGTAATTATTTATTAATTTTATATATTAATTGGGACTCTTCTAATACTTTATCCCTCATCAGAACAAAAAATTATGTTTTTTTTTTTTTTCTTTGTTTTTTTTTTTTTGATTCTTGCATCATTTAAATAAATTTCAATATTGTAAAAAAATAGATTATCCTTAGGTGTGTACGTGGGTGTGTTGAATAAATGTTAAAATCATTGTAGTTTGAGCAGGTACGTGTTTTTATACCGGATCCTTAACCCCGTGTGTATGATAGAATCATTATTGCAATCATAACTTAATGCTCCCAGTGCAATATTTCTTTTGCTTGGTGTGATAATTTTACCTATTGTTTTGGCCAATGTTTCGTAATTTTTTGTTGGATATAGAGATTTTTGTGCCATATGTTTTGTTGAAAGAATGTGAACAGAGTTGTATATTAATGCAAATAAAATCGTTTACAAAAATTGTATTTTAATTTTTGTTCTACCTTCATAAGATGGCCATCACCAAAAAATAGTATTTGACCATAAAAAATTGAAATAAATCTAGATACAGGTTTATGATTTATTTTGGTTTAAGAGGGACGTTATCTTTGTTGTTGTTGTAAACTTCTCATATTTTGCTGAAGAACCGCTGGGCCATTTACAACTAAACTTGAGAGAGAGTATCCTTCAGTAAAGGAGATTTAAATTCGTTTAAATGAAAGATCAGTCACACTTCCAAGGGGGAGATAAATAAGAAATAGTGAAAATTGGCTGGGGTTATTTTAAAATCTTCTTAAGAAACACTGGGCTAGAAACGATGAAAGTAGATGGGCGAACATAGAGTGTCCGAAGATTTAGATATATATTTAAAGTCATGTTCAATTTGTGAATCCATATTTAAATAAAAATTCTCATTATTGAAATAATGACATTAAACAAAACTGATGACAAAAATTGAAAAGTTTTTATTGACATGTCACATGAAATTTTAACATTTTTTTTAATTTATGGGGTTCCTGTGCAACAGGAAAAGAAAATATCTTCCTGAAATTGAGCTTTGATTTGCTACAAAATAACTTGAAAATTGGCCAGATCAGACATTTGGTACAAAATGGTACATTTTAAACACGTTTTTATAAAAAATTTTCTATCTCTGGGTCTTCTCTCCATGATTTTTAAACGTTATTTGTGTGTATTTTAATTCAAAGAAACGAATACACTTTTTTAAAAAATGGAGAGAAGACCCAGAGACCACGAAAAACGAACTTTCCCCCCAAAAATCCAAATGTGTGAATGTGGTGCTTCTTTGTCCTTTTAAAATCTCCTAAGTATATGTAGCGGTGATAGCTCAGTAAGTTGGTCTACCTATTCAGTTTACTGGAACCGAAAAGTTTTTGGTTCGAGCCAGGCGTGGGGCGTTAATTATTTTTTTTTTTTTCATGCAAACAACCATTGATTTTGTCAGTTTCGTTTTATGTACTGATGTATTAAAATTCTGAATTAGATAAATTTTGGTTCAGTTTGGTTCTCGAGCAAAATCAATTCTATTCTATATAATGTACATGTACACGTATCATGCATCTATATGCATTAAATATTTTAGGTGTTTATTTTTTGTGAAACATTACTATGTTATAGTATCCCCTAGGAAAAACGGACAAAAATGTTACAATCTCACACTTTCAAACTAAATGAAATAAAAAAAATACCTATGGATGTGTTTGTAATCTGTTGTTCAGTCAACCAAATCATGGACATTTAAACCATAAATGTTTCGTACAAATGATTCCTGCATATCACACGCCAAATGCGCCCATCTTCTTTTCTAGACAAAATTTATTCTTTTATTTTTTAATGAAATGTGGTTAAAGTTGTAAAAAATGCCAAACGCTAAGCACTAGACTACACAAGTCCTGATAAAGAGTGGAATCTGAATCTTGCTTGTGGTTGTGACGCTGGACAAAGTATTTTTCGAAAAGATGTGAATGTTATGACATTAGGTATAGAGGGTCTTTGCTTCATATTGTTGGTAACCAAAAATAAATATTTTTATGCAAAATTGAGAATTAACTTTCAAAAGGACACAAAGAACAAACAAGAGGCCCATGGCCTCATCGCTCACTTGAGCACATGCGCTAGTTAAAAAACACAAATCATCTCAGCATTGAAGGTTAATTGTTGGGGGAGGGGAAATTTGAATTTTTTATTACCAGAGAATGTCACTATATCAATAAAACATACATCAAAACATACATGTATAATTTTGCAATACTTAAGAAGAAGAGTTTTAAAGATTTTTCATATATATTTCTATGTAAAGATTTGATTGCCCATTATGGCCCCACCTTACCCCCAGAGGTCATGATATGAACAAATTTGAATTAACTCAAACTGAGGACGTTTCCATATTAATATTACCAATCATAGCTTTGCTGATCTTGAGAAGATTTTAAAAAGATTTTCCCTATGTATTCCTATGAAAAACTTTAATCAGCCATTGTGGCCCCACCCTATCTTCGGGGGTCATGATTTGAACAAACTTGAAATTACACTACCTGGGGATGCCTACACATTAGTTTCATCTTTGCTGGCCCAATGGTTTTGGAGGAAAAGTTTTTAAAGATTTTTCCTATATATATTCCTATGTAAAACTTTGATATCAGCCATTGTGGCCCGCCCTACCCCCAGGGGTTATGATTTGAACAAACTTGAATCTACACTACCTGAGGATACTCCAACATTAGTTTCATCTTTGCTGGACCAATGGTTTTAGAGAAAAATATTTTTAAAGAATTTTTCTATGTATTCCTTTGTAAAACTTTAATCAGCCATTTGAGCCCCGCTCTACTCCCGGGAGTCATGCTTTGAACAAATTTGAATCTACACTACCTGATGATGCTTCCACATGAGTTTCATCTTTCCTGGTGATTCTGGAGAAAAAGATTTTTTTAAAAACATATATTCCTATGTAAAACTTTGATCAGTCATTGTGGGCCCGCCCTACCTCCGGGAGTCGTGATTTGAACAAACTTGAATCTACACTACCTGAGGATAATTCCACATTAGTTTCATCTGTGGTTCTGGAGAAGAAGATTTTCAAAGATTTCTATGTAAAACTTTGATAAGCCATTGTGGCACCGCCCTTCCCCCGGGAGTCATGATTTGCACAAACTTGAATTTACACTACCTGGGGATGCTTCCACATTAGTTTCATCTTTCCTGGCCCAGTGGTTCCGGAGAAGAAGATTTTCAAAGATTTTTCCTATATATTCCTGTGTAAAACTTTGATCAGCCATTGTAGCCCCGCCTTACCTCCGGGAGTCATGATTTGTACAAACTTGAATTTACACTACCTAAGGATGCTTCAACATTAGTTTCATCTTTCCTGGCCTAATGGTTCTGGAGAAGAAGATTTTTAAAAGATGCTATTAATTTTTCATCAATTCATAATCACCCGAGGTTACTTTGTGGCAAGTTTGGTTGAAATTGGCCCAGTGGTTCTTGAGAAGATGATAATGTGAAAAGTTTACGACACGACAGACAACGGACAAATTTTTATCAGAAAAGCTCACTTGAACCTTCGGCTAAGGTGAGCTAAAAAGACCTTGTATAGACAATGTATTATTGTTTGAGAAAATGAATCTTTGCATTCTTAAGTGGGTCTTTTTATTTCTTTCTGTCTTTTTCTCTGGAGTTACGTATTATGCAGAAAAACTAAGTGCATGAAATTCGCTGTGTATTTTTAATAAGCCAACTGTGAAATTGATCTGAACACCATTCTCGTGTATCTCAAGCGTAGAAATATACACGGAGAAACGTGTGTTAACGACGTTCGATCCTGATATTTTAAGTCTTAAACTTTTTTTGCCAAGTATATTTTTAGTTTCTACATACATAGCTTAATTAAAATTCAAATCCAAAAATGGGGGTCAATACGCTTCTTTTGGCGCTACAGTACATTTAATATGACCTCTCTGCACTGAAATTTGTCTCTTAATTAAAAATTAAATTTTGGACGTTTTCCCTCCTATATTTTTATCCGATTACAGCATGAAATAAAATAAACTCTAGATTTGTTTAAAAAAAGACACTTAAAAATTGTGACCAAGAAAAAGTTTCAAATTGTTTCGCATATTCAATTATTTGACCTTTCTGCACTAATGAAAAGTGATTTTTCTGGCATTGAAAATTCAATAAGCAAGAAAATTATTTTAAAGTCTTAAACTTTTTCTGATTTTAAGCAAATAGGTCAAATTTATCTTGAATATATAGAAAAGGACATCAAAAGTTGGGGTAGATGATGTAAATTTTTAGATATTACTAAAAAAGTGTCAATTTTACGTTAAAATTGCCTCATTTTTTTCCCGGATTTTCAGAATATATTTACTATATTTGTCACACTTTGTTGATTGTTGATAGAATTCATAAGAAATAATTTAATAGATATTTCAGAACCAGCATAACACATTTCACTGCAAAAAACAGCTTTGTGTGCAACCAGGATGGTAAAATAGGAATCCAAAATTAACAGTACTATTATAGTTCAAAATGGAAAAAACTGATCATTTTCGTCTAAAAAACCTTCCGCCACAAAATATAGTCCCTAGCTTAACTCTACTTGAATGGAATTTAATCGCGGTTTTTTCATTGAATATAGTTAAATTTGCACTGTAGAATTCAGATTTAATGTTAGAACTTAAAAATGATGCAGAATTTTATTAATAAAGGACCTGATCAAAATACGCTCAAAATCTCAGGATCGAACGTCCTTAAGTGACTTCACAATAAGACTACAGCGACGTTAGTATACAGTTATGGAATGGGTACGAGGGAAATAGCAAATTTATGTTTCCCCGAGGGAAATAGTTTCCTGCCGAGGGGAACCATAAATTTGCTATTTCCCTCATACCCATTCCATTATGTATATTATGGTATTAATTTTATATAGAGTTATATCAGTAGAGGTATAATGATTTATTTAGAACTTTCACGTGAATTTTTCTTTCCACGATATTTAAGTGATATGCTTTTCGTGCAATATTCATATGCACTTATGTCAAAATGTTTTTGAGGTTCCAGATAAATTTCACCTGTTTTGTGATAAGCATGAAGACTTAACCCTTTCGACGACAAAGCGACAAAAATGTCGTTTACTGTGTCAACGCCAAACCGTAATGTTACGGTATGAAATTTTATGCAGTTTTTACCTCCTAAGTTTATATAAATCACTCAAACAAAAGTATTTTTTCCTAGAACTATCATTTGGCGTATGAATCATACACCTTGATAAATGGGTGATATAGAAGATAAGGGGGGGGGGGGTAAGGCGGGTGGAATGCCTATAGCGCGACAGATAAGAAGTGAAAAATTTAATCTCAATTATATCCAAATTTTATTTTATATTTCAGCTAATATTAAAGTATACTTAATGTAAAATCTCTATAATTTACAAAAATCTCATAATGACTGAAAATAATAGCCTATG